CCATCTCCCAGAAATGTGCTAAAGTCTATGGCAGAAAAGCAATTATCTAAGTACTATACTTATAATTGATTAGCATTGCAGGCCTTGGTGACTCCCTCACAGCTCTTTCACTGGTTTGGTGCACCCCCCAGGGCTGTGCACCAGCTCTCTCTGGTTTGGGGTATGTACAATAGTCTCAGCCCCTCATCTCCAGAGACAATGCAGAACAGAAAGTGTTTGAGGTCTGCAAGTGGCATGAGTGAGGCTTGGGTGCTCAGACTGGGTTTGATGTTTACTGTGACGCAGCAGACCAGAGGGGGCTGTGTGTGGTTCTCAGGGAGATGTTGAAAGGGATCCAGGTGATTGGAACCAAAAGGATTCGGGGAGCCAGTTCAGTATTCATTGAGTTCACATTCCTGCATTTACTAGAGAAAATGGGACATTCATAATCACATGAATTCAACAGCCAAAGCCGGAGACAATCTGACAGTGGTATTCCTAAAGATAGGGAGTAGGGAAGGGGGGAGGGAAGGGGGAAGGAGAGTATGGGGAATAGAGAGAGACGGGAGGAGGGGAGAATAAGAGAGGGAGAAAGAACACGTGCATGAGAGAGAATGCTCTACAGAAAGAACAAGAGAATGAGAGCGGTAAATACAATTCAACATTTTATCTGACTGAACCAGAAATTTGCTGTAGTGGTTTGATTTTTGACAGTTGTGAGAACAGTAACTAGAACTAATGGCAATAGACTGTTAATGGGCCCTTGAGAGACAGTTACTATTTCCCAAAGGGGACAACCCCAGGTTCTCTGGGTAGGGAAGTTTGGTTTAATCCCTACCTGAGAGCCTGCAATAAATTGTAGATTTTTCCTGCCCACCCAGGGACGCCAAGAATTTCTCTTCAGAAAATGAGATTGAGCTCGACATCTGGGTTCCAGAAAATAGCTGGGCCAGATTGAGTGTCAGGAAAAGCTCAGGAGAGTTGTCCGCTCTCATCTCAGTGGAATCCTGCTTCTGTCTAACTCCTAAGAGGAACTCCTAACCATTCCCTTTGTATATTCCAAAGTGAAGTCGCACCCCAATGCATTTGAGAGGACAGGAACCCGGTTGAGAACACAATTCACCACATCTCTCTCCCTAACCGAAACTCTTCCTCTTTCTGAATTACATTTCCAGAAACCTCCTTGTTTCCTGAAGTTTTGTTCACTGTATCAGGGGCTTTAGTCAATATTTCAATCTGGTATTGGTGCTATGAACACAGGGGCTTAGCCTTGGATTAATTAAACGTTTCTATAAGGAAAGAGGTTGCACTCTTAATGGAACAAAGTTCACAAGAACATTGTACTGAACATATAGCTCTCCTGCCTGCATCAGACTCCAGAGGGAGAGAAACAAGCAATTTAATCAGTAACATTGTTTCAGACATAACTGTCTTCTGCCAAATGAGAGACAGCAAGTGAAATGTACTGGCTAGCACTCAATACAGTACACAAAAGTCAGGATCGAGTGAGGCTTGCATTGGTGGAGGCTACCCCAGATCCTTATTAAGCTGCAGAGCAACCCAAAGTCAATGCACAGAGGGAGCCCCACAAACACATCTGTCTGGCTTACAAAGTACTGCGGCCATTCCCCTAGTGAACATCTGTGGGTTTTAGAGGGTTTCTAAGGAGAGTGCCGTCCCAGCTGGATGTCACAGTAACAACTTTGCTATGCTTGCTAGAATGAAGTAGAAGAGCAAGAGGACTTCCAAGCTCTTTTTGAAAAATGTCCCTCCCATTCTTTTAATGTAAGAAGGTCATGAAACGGCTTCCCTAGCTTTTCTTGGGCAATTTCAAACACCATGACATGACTGCAGAACCCCCATAAGTCAAGTGAAAGTCCTTTTGACACTGCTGTGTCTCTTGGTCACAATTTGCGGAATGGTGAAACGGGGAGAAATAGGAACCAAAAACTGTATTTCAATCGAAACCATGGCCAACAGCAAATCTGCATTAGGAATAGGAAACTTATAAAAACAACATCCATGATAACCATGAATGTTCCCACAACATTGCTTACTGTCCCACCCGCGTGCCTCAGCTCTGCCCTTGGTGGTGAGAAGGGAATTCGGGTCTAATCTTTAAGCACTTCATTGCTCACGGTTCTTCCACAGTAGACCTCAACCCTCCTCTAGAAGGCCCAGCCTCTCCTGATGGGAGAGGGGCTTTTTTCTACCCCCCATGGATGCAATCTCTGGGAATCTTCAAGCCAATCTCTTAATATACCTTGAACATGGAGGGACTCCTACAGAGCCACTCCAAGCTGGCTTGCAGGGAGCTTTCTACGTTGACTGCTTCTATCTTCTGCTTGGCAACCTGTTCACTGACCGTAGCCTCACAGCTGAAATGTGGCTCTTTGGAGGCTGATCTAGAAGCGGAAAATCCTGCATTCCTTTAGCTTCCTTTTTGTGACCTTCATTTCCAGTCGTAAAGTTGGCAGGAACAGCCCTCTCCCTGGAGCAGAGACTCTATTCCCTTCTACCTAGGCAATAATTTGTCTGAAACAAAACTTCATCTCAGGACGCTCTCAGTGCCGAAATCAACAGGGAGGCGAAGCTTTGTAAGGTTTAATTCCTGCTTTTTCTGGCCACTTTGACAATGAAATAATCTGTCAGGGGCATGGGTATGTTTCTTACTGATGTGTAGATAACACATTTGAGATACTCATTCCTATGTGATAACCCAGTGGGCATAAATGAGCTGAAGTCAAGGTTTGCTCTTCTACTCACTCGTCAGAGAAATGGGTGCATGAGCTGTGATTAGTATGTTAGTGATCAGATGAGGTGAAGCCAGCTGTGCTTGCTGTGATATGAACACATGCTGAGACTTATTACCCACAATGCCCCTGTCTCCTTGTAGGCAATGCACATCAACATTTAAAAAACACAAACCCACCCATTCTTCCAGGAAGGGAAGTCTTTGATTGGTTTCAGATTAGTGTATCTGCTCAGGATCAAAGGGCTAATTCCTTTGCGGGGAGACTACCACACGAATCACTAGTTCTTCATCAACTAATCCAGAAACACGGCTCGTGCTCTCCAGATACCCCGTCTCCACAGCTGTGTCCCTGCAGGGCGTGTGCTATCACGTTCTATTGCTGTCTGCAGTGCCAGGTCTAGAAGGGAAACCTCAACGGCTGAGACAGAGACAGAGACTGGTTTCAGGAATGCCATAGCATCCGCCTCATTGAAAACACCTTTGGATGGTGGCATAGTTTAGGGACCAATGGAAAACAACATACCAGCACCCAGCAAGTTTGCAGGTAAGACGAGTTTCAACATTCTTATCTAGTGATGGCTTCCTTAACACTCTAGCGCTTGATCTCTGGTCAATTTCCCTACCATTTGGGTATGCTCACGAGCAAAGCATTATCGCTCTGACACACACCAGGCAGGGGAGGGCTGGGCTACACTGAGTTTCAGATCACAGAGGGTATGTCTACACTGCAATTAGACACCCACGGCTGGCCTGTCCTGGTGGACTCGGGCTGGAAGCCGAACTCTAGGACCCTGCGAGGTGGGAGGGTCCCAGACCTCAGGGTGCAGCCCGAGCCAGAACATCTACACAGCAATTAAACAGCCCCTTATCCCATGTCAGCTGGCACGGGCCAGCCGTGGGAGTCTAATTGAAATGTAGTGCTAAGGTGATCACACTGAAGTGTACCCCCATGAATAGGGGCCTCTCCACATTGCCAAACATTGGGGGCTCTCCTGAAGTGAAGGATGGACTCTAAGGGAATATGGGACCCATTCTGCTTCCACTGAAGTCAACTGGAATTTTGCCCTATTTTCAATGGTGCAGTATCCAGCCCTGTGTGATAAGAAGAGAGCATGATTGAATGGGTGGGATGTTCTTCAGCACTAACACTCACAGTACAGCATCCTACTCCACCAACGCAATCCAGCTCTGGACAGAGCCTCAGTTTCTAGCTCAACTGATTGCAGGCTTTTCCCACACTCCTTAAACCCACATGCCCCGCCAGGAGGCAGAGGGACCACCTTTTCCTGGGAGGGAGGGGAACACAGATTTGTTCACCTAATACTGGCATTCTTTGTTCTACTTCACCATTGGACCCTATTCCCAACCTAGGGGGACTACGTTCCTGAGGGGCTAGGGGGGAATTTAGTTTCTCACTTCACCTAATTCTGGCACTCCTGTCTGTACTCCTGCACTGGATTCAGACCCTGACCTGGAAAGGCCACGTTCTCTCCACACCGGAGTAGAAGTGGTTGTGCGGTTTGCACTTATACACCGGGGGATCCCCATTAGGAAAGGGCCTGAGAAAAATGGATCTAATTTCATCTTTGACTTGACAAACACCAAACCTGAGCCTCTGAATCAGCTCTCAATAGGAATCTACCCTGGCTGTGGAATGAAACTTCAGTTCTTTTTTGTGCATGAGTTTAGACACATTGAGGAGACAAAAAGCCTACAAGGAAACAGGGGCTTGTAACGCAGTGGCGGGAAGCTTACACCGTTTGACTGAAACAGAATTAATTGATGAGTTTATATAGAAATAGGTAGCTTTACCCTAGGAGCTAAATGCCTAAAGGGCTTATTTTTCTTCTCTCTCTCTTTCAGATCTGTAGAAATATAAAGAGTTGTGGGTTTCCAGAACAGCACCTGAAAAACTCAGTTTTGCATCTAAAAATTTGCTTCAAATGATACATCTGGCACGTTCTGTTGTTGCTTAGACATAAGAACCAAACCCTGTGCAGAGAACCCTCTAACCTGGATTCTCTGCTGAATTCGCGGGCGCGTAAAATTGAAACTGTGTCGACACTATTGAACAATCCTGGCTTGAGTCGAACACTTGTTCACAGATATGCCTTGAGGTCCAGATGACCACTGTCACAACACAGCTGATCAGCAGAGGTGGGAGGTTTAGGTCCAGGTTCACTACACCCAATGAGAAATGGCACAACCCTGATGAGACTGGATGGCCACGGCCAGAGTCACATGACACAAGGACATTAAACGAGAATGCCATTTTAAACATATGTTTTAATGTTGTACATGTAACAGGTGAGGTTCGCCCTGTAGGGCTATGCTTTCAGCCTCTGGTGCTAGGATGTAGGTCTCCAGCTGCCTTTTCACAGCTCGCTATGACTCACTAGGCCTACTGCTCACTGATCAAGGAACTCAGGGATCAGGAGTTAACTTTGGAGTTGTCTTGTGATAATGCATGTCACACAGTGATTCCACTGCAGTGTCCAGAGAGCGTCCTTCAATTGCAAGCTCTTCATAAGCCTTCCGTGAGCCAATGTAAGGCTAGCACTCCAGTGGAGCTACCGTATGACGGCTCATGTTGCCTTAGGAGCTATCACAAGGTAACTCAGAAGTTAGCTCACCTCACAGCTATTTCATGGTACTGGCATGTTCCCTTGCTGCTCAGAACACTGGATGTTGGGACCTGCCATCTCCTAGGGCCACATCCACATTAAAGATTACGGTGTCTGCCTCGAACTTTATCCTGTGCTTGTTAAGCTCCAGGGGCTCCTTGCAATTGCCAGTGTGGTTGAGGGTTGAGCAAAGTCTGGGTGCCACACATGCCAGTGAGACTCCATGACTGGAAGCTGCCGCACGGCTCTGCCAGGATCCCCTGCCAGACTCTATGGTGCCGTTCTGAGCACTGTACTGCAGGCTGCATGCTGCCTCTGGGGACGGGGACGTGCTGCCGTTTTGCCACTATTGTTCAAAATCTTCATCTGTGCACAGAGCACGCGACATACAGGCCGAGCACAGCCTTCCTCACCCTATTCAGCCCTGGCCTAAGAACAGCGAGGAGAGAAGGAATATTCTCACTGATGACCTTGCCTTGCCTTAACTCTGACCTTGGGTTCTCTTCATCATCAGTGTCTCTTGACCTCTTTTTCAGTGACTCTCATCAAACATCCTCCTGGGGGAGACGGTCTTCCAAGGAGACACAGTCAGAGAACCCAGTTTCTGTCTTTTATCCTTGGAGCTCCCTGGCCAGAAACTCTATAAGCCTCTGGAAGAGAAATGTACCAGGGCCTGCTTGTTGTATAGTCAGAAATTAATGGGATCAGGAACAAACAAAACTGTGCACCACCAGGTCCGCTTACTCAGCCGTTCTTCCAGCTCCCCCCGGGCTCTCGTCTAAGGAGAATCTCTGGAAATAGCAGCAGCTGTGCTGGGGCGGCTTCTGGGAGCAGCGACCGCACTGTCTTTCTCAACCACAGGGAGATTCCTGGGCAACTCCTGGAGACATGGCTTCAGTTTGGCCCCTGGCAAAGGGCCCTCACTGTCCTCCTGAAGAAGGACGAGCTCAAGGACGACAGCACCAGCAGCTGCAGGAGAGGCTTTGGCAGCAGCATCTTCACCCCTTATGCAGCACTGCAGGGTCCAAAGGCCGTTTCTGGCAGCAGTAGCAGCAACTGTGGATTTAGGGTCATCTCTGGCAGGTGGGACCTCACTATTTTTCAGCAATCAGGAGCATTCAAGGGCCGTCACTGGTGGTGGCAGCAGCAGATTTAGCTGGTCCTGCTTCTCTTGTCCTTCATCACAGCACTGGAGGGATTTAAGGGCAGTGTGTTGTGGAAGCTTCAGGTGGTAATTTCGCTCTTAAAATCAAGCACAGGGACTGGAAAGTGTGCGGAAGTGGGCTGCATTTGTAAATTATTCTCTACGTTAATTTCTGAACTGACAGGAGTTGAATAAAAGAGAGGGAATTAGCACAATGGAAGAGAGCACCTCACATCACTCTAGAATATCCTATTTACAGCTGACTTCCTGGGAAATATTTCCAGTTCTTGGACACCCACCAAGTGCACCAAATTTCAGAGAGGAAAGGCCACAACTTTCATAAAAAGTGAATGAGAAACATGTAACTCTACAAGACCAGCAAAAGACGCTAAACGCCTGGGGAAGGAGCAGCACCCCCCTGTGACAGTGGGGGGGAGGGTGGGTTGCTGGTGGCTCTCCGGCAGGGCACAGGACTTTGAGGGGCCGTGGGGAACAGAAGAGTGCAGTGCAGGAACTGATTCATGGAGCACAGTGAGGGGGCTCTCTGGGAAAAGGGCTGGGATCTGGGAGGATGTCTGTCAAGGAGCATGGGAGGCATGGGAGGCAGTGGGAGGCCAGCATCTCTTGAAGCATGACGGACAGAAGAGTCTGGTGTCCCAGAATACGTGGGGATGGACAGAGCTGGGACAGGGGGGAACTGGTGTCTCTAGTGGCAGGTACAGTGGAGAGGCAGGCTGCAGCCATTTAAGGCCCGTGGGCGGCAGAGGATGAGCTGGTATCTCAGTGCCTTTGTGAGACAGAGGAGGAATGTGACGGGCGAGGGTCCCTCTGGCAGAAAGGGGATGGTGTTTTTCAGGGAATGTGGGGGATGGAGAGAGGCTGTCACTCAGGGAGCAATGGAGGTCGCAGGGTGTATAACCGAGGGGCATGTGGAGCTGGGAAAGCTGTTGTCTCTCAGGCTGTGAAAGACTGAGGAAGGCTGGTGTCCCTTGGAATCCGAGGTGGGGGAGCAGAAGGGGGGAGAAGAGGCACTGGTCATGCTCAGAGCCCTCAGCACAGCATACTGATATATTTAACCTGCTGGATGGGGAGAGGCTGACGTGGCCTTCCCTCAACAGCTCCGCCAGCACAATCCAAGTCTGAGCTAGAAATCCAGGCTTGGGCCCATGGGAGGGAGGTGAGCAGGGCAGGCGCACAGGGAGGCTATGGGCAGCCAGGGTCACTTGCAGACCAGGAAGGGTGTGTGGGCAGAACTCAGGGAATGGGGAGGCTGACACTGCTAAGGGCCCTTGAGGGAAGAGGCGGGGCTGTGGGAGGCTTGTGTCCCTGGGAGTCTCTGGGGTTAGAGGGAAACTGCGTGGGCAGGGGCTGGAGGGGGGCTGGTGACCCTTGAGGCCTGTGAGGAATGGGGAGAGGTTGATACCACTGAGGGAGTATGGAGGTCACTGACGTGTGGGTGGGAGCTGGTGTCTCCTGGGCATCGCGGGGATGAAGGAATCTAATATGGCTGGGACTGAGAAAGAAGCTTCTATGGGCTTCTTACCCCTATCTTCTGGGGCCGCCATCTTGTCAGAGCTCACAAGTTACAGTTTCTGGCCAGGTCTGTACTTGAATGAGAGACCTGAAGAGGAAAACATAGGGCAGTGTGGGCAGTGGTGTGGATGCCGCAGTGGGGGCGTTCTCCCCCCTGAGTCAGTGACAGTCTCAAAGCCCCAGGGTGGTGACAGGAGGGGCTGTGTGGCAGGGAGGAGCATGGGTGACTGCGTCATGGTGCTAGGGAGATCCGCGTTATTGATGGTGGATGCGGGCAGGGGACTGGACTCGATGGCCTCTCGAGGTCCCTTCCAGTCCTAGAATCTATGAATCTATGAATGTTGACAGATGCGATGTAAAACTGAGGCCCTGACCACTAACATGACATTTTTCCTGCCAACTTTCAGCCAGCCTAAATTCCCTCTGCAGTTTCAATTGGATTCGGGATTAATTTGCATGTCATGTTCTAGAGGTAGTGTGTAATGTTCCTGTGGCCTGTTCAAAGGCTGCCCCATCCCACCTCAGAGGTGGCTTGTTTTCACTGATGGGCTACACAATTCCTACGTTCTTAGTCTGAGAGCATTTGGGATCCTTTGGGACAAAAGGCACTAGAGAAATGCAAATAATTATTAACTGTTCAGGAGAAAACACTAAAAAGAGGAACCCACAACCAAATACAGCAATTTAACAACAGAATCAAGACATAGAGAGAAGCAACATGAAACAACAGAAAGGCAATTTGAAGAGGAAAGGAGACAGTGAGAAAGGTCCGTGTTTGTGGGCAGGATTAAGGAGACGCCCCAAAACCAAACATGACAATTTCTAGGACGTCTGTCTCAGCTTTTCTCTCCTCTATGCAGCTGAGGAATCCTGACATCTCTGAAATGTTCCTCAAAATGCATCTTGTGATTATGCAGCATATTTATAGGCCACCATTGCTGATGATTTTCCCTATCTTCCTGGAGTGCCTAAACTCTGCACCAATCCCCTCCCCTGACCAGCATAAGTCTTACCGTGCTGCGATCACAGGTGACTTCTTCCCAGGATCTAAAGGGGGCCCGGTAGGTTCCTCCCCCAGTGATCGTGTATCCTTATTCAGCTGTTGTAACCGGGAACTTAGCTCACTGATCACAGTTGGTTTGTCATCCTCAGCCCCATGGACTGGCCTGCTCTCCATGGGGTCCCCCCATAGCTTGGATCTTCTCTGAAAGAGGTAGCGTGGCCGACCAACACTGGCTGAAGCCAGAGTAGCCGCATGTTGCTGGGAGATGAGCTCACTGTCCGAAGACTGCTTCAAAAGTGGGTCCCTGAAAGTAACTGGCCCCTTGCTGAGCTGGGACTTGAGTTTTGGCTTTGGAGGCACTGGTGGCTTCTCGAGTATAAAAGTTTGTCCATCCGCAAAGGAAGTGTATGTGTCAGTAGGCTCCCCGCTTTCAGAGGACAATGTAGACATACTGGAGACTGTAGAGATGGTGCTTGTGGTCTCCAGGTGATGGTCACTTGAACTCCTGGTGTCCACCTCTTCTACTCCTGAGTCTGCAGCAGACTCTGGGGCTACGGGGGCATCAGAGGGCTTCCCTGAGGGTGTTCCACCAGTGGTAGAAGGTGCTACTGCTGCCGCTGGTATGGATGGCGTGCTAGGCTTAGCCAGTTGGCTGATTGGTGTGCCAGGGGTGGTGACTAGTACCCCATTTGCAAACTCATCTGGTGGAGGCACCAGCCCAATCTTGGCCAGTTCCTCCCTGGTCTCTTCATCACTTGAAGACAGCTGAGCTGGTGGGAGGGTAACTGTGTAGGGCTCCACTTCCTCCTCTGAACTTCCTTGACCAAGTGTCTTGTCAGATGCTGGGCTAACCGGAGACTTTCCCACAGGGCTGGGCTCAGTCTCCGCTTTGGGCAGCTCTGCCGGCTCCACACTTGCTTCAGGAACATCGGGTTTCTCCTCTTTCATCTCAAGTCCTATCTCCTCTTGGCCATTACTTGTTGCATGGACCATGATGAGGCCGGCTGTCTTCTGCTGTGATGTGTCCATAATACTAATGATCATAGATTTCTTGTCTTCGTGTTTTTTCTCTTCTTTCACAGGTGTTTCTGCTCTTGTCTCAGTCTCTTTTCTCAGTGTTGTTGGAGTCCCCCAGTGGCTTTTCATAGGGGCCAAAGTCCCAGGAACTGCTCCTACTGCCCCTTTGGCTCCAGGCGAATATGCAGGTGACACTAGGCCCTCTAGCTCCCCCCTTTCTGGTTCTTTGGTTTGGACGTCCACAAACAGGGGTGCTGCTCGGTCTGAATCTGGGCTGTGGATTGGGGTGGGCGACCTGGATGGGACTTGAGTGGACAGGGCCCGCTCCCTTGCGGCCAGCGCAAGCGCCAGTGGTGAGTTTGGATCTAGGGGCTTTCCTGTCAGGGGGTGGATGAATGTTGAGGATGAGCTGCTAATTAATGGCTTTAAAGCTGAGACAGGTGAAGGCAGCAGCACATCTCGGCTTCCTAGCAACCGCTCATCAATAGACCTGGACTGCTGCAGGGATGGCATGTCAATGCTGGGGGGGCTCCCTTCAATGGCCCCAACCGAGAGGAAGACAGTGGATTTCCGCCTCTCATCAAGACGACGCTCTCTGTCCTTCATGACTCCAGCGATGGCAGTGGCAAAGGGGATGCTCGAGGGGTCGACCTGAGCGATGCCAGCGTGGTGCTGATACTCTATGCCACTCATGCGATGGCTCCGGCGCGTGGGAGAGGGCTCCCGCGTAAAGCCTCCTGCGATGGATAAAGCTGCTCTTTCCTGAGCGTCCTCTACTTGCAGCTGCTTCACTAAAGGGCTCTTCTTCCTCTGGGGCTTGGTGGGAGCAAACAGGCTAACGTTGAACTGGCCCATGTTGGCGTAAGGGTTATCAATCACTCGCCCTTTCCTTTTCAGCTTCTCCGGGGGCGTGGCGGAAGGGCCAGGCCGGGGGATCTCTGTTGGCTCTACAGGAAGATGAGAGGAGTCCTGCAGGATTATCATGGATCGGGCTCTCTTTTGCCTTTCAGGATACGGGATAGAAGTCCTTGCCTGGTCATACATCTCAGCTGCACTGATAACCTGGGGGAGGCCATGGAGTTTGGCCTCCAGGCTTGGCTTAAAGCTCGATCTTATGGTATCGTAAACCCTTCCCGGAGGTGGAGGTGGGGAGAAGGATGGGGGAGGGCCTGTGTCAAAGTAATATGGAGACGGAGGAGGGGGTGGAGCCGTCTGAGGTGGGGGTGGGATTCCGTGCCCTTCCCTGACGGTGTCTTGCATTGACGTGCTCCGAGGAAATTTCCCATCCATCAAAGAAGCAGCAAGTTTTTCATCTTCACCTAGGAAACCAGAAGAACAGCAAAGTCAGAATCCCAGAACAAAGGGAGATGGACCCTGCTGAGAATTCAGTCTTTCCCTGGGCTCTGCAAGCTGGATGTCAGGTGCCCTAGGGGAGGATTCTAGTTTTGAAGAGACTCTCCTCATCTTCATGCTACATGACTAGCCACTAATTCCGCAGCTTGCTCTCTTGTATGACGAGACAGGGTGCAGAGCAGGCAGTGACTGGTTCTCACTATGTCCTTCAGCATTTTATTATAAATCCCTCCGTCAGGCCTTGCCACCTCCTCCCTGGCCAGGGTAAATAATCCCAGGGCCAAATCCAGAGATGCTGTAATTAGACACAGACGCCTTGGACGTAGTTGCCAATTACCAGTGTGCACGGGGGCTTCACTTAGAGCAGCCAGAAGAAGGTGGGGGCTCATTATACCTAGGGGTGGCCTGCTACAATGTAACATTCACCCCCCCCCCCCATTGAGCTGCTTCTCCCCCTCCCCCCTCTGGGAGCGAATTACACACATTGAAACTCAGGGGACTGTGTCCGAGGGATCTAAATTCTGTGCTGGTAAATAGGTACGTAACTACAGACCAATGTCTCTCTCACTACTCTACTGTTACTAGGGTAACTTACTCCAGGAATACCTAGTGAGACCGGTTTCCGGCTAAGGTACCACTCAGTAGACGGTATCAGAGCCTGGGGTGGCAAAAGGCAGTCTGGGGGAGAAGAAATGGATGTAACGTGTACATTGAGGGGCCGAAAGAAGATGTGGGTTACACCAATTTAGACTCTTCCTGGTTTCCCCTGTGAATCTGGCCTCTCCTACCCCAACCCACCTTACCACCTCAAGTCATCATTTGCCTTCCTGGCTCTTCTCAGCCTCAGCTAGAACTTCCTCAACATGAGTACCCAATCTCAAGCGAGCACTGAAGATGAGTGCGTGCCACAGCCTGGCATGTCAGTTACTTTCTCTATTATTTTGTATCCTGTTCTTTAATGCACCCACACATCCAGTCTGCTTTTCGAAGGCAGCTGCGTACTGCGCTGGGCAGGCACTTCTCTGTGCTCCAGTGACCCCAAAGGCTAGAGAGCTACTGATTAATACCCCATCTTGCCAGGCACTAACTCTCTATGCAGACGAGCCCCAGGAGTGTTCACCCCATGCCCACTCATTTTTGTTTCATTTGTATTTTAAACACCTGTTTCTATTCCTTTTAACCCCCACCCACCTCTACATTTTATTTCCATCTCCTGTGCTGATGTCTCATTTCATTTTTCAAACCTCATTAACTCCAAGGCCCAGATGGGGAGAGAGGCCCAGCAGGAGTCAGCGATTTGCCCCAGGTCACTCAGGGAGTTGGCGGAAGAGCTGGGGCTTGAGCCCAGCTCTCCTGAGTGCCCGGCCAAGTGCCTTCACCACAAGGCTACTAAAAGTACCAGGGATGACATGTATCCCCTTCAAACTGCTCAGGAACCTCCTCTGTTGCTTCCATGCTAGACAGAAAGTGCCCAGGGCTTAGAATGACCCTGAAAAGGGACGGGGAAGGAGGGTGGGAGACAAGACACTTTCTCCATTCTGTCCCCACCCACCATTCCAACACAGCTCCACCGTGCTGCCTTCTAAGCCCTGCAGAACTGCACCCCATCTATTTATTCGACCTTGTTCCTCATCGCATGGCCCTGAACACTCTGTCGATGATGCCAGGTCTGATGCCCCAGGTGTCCACGTCCCCACAGCCTGCTTCATGCCTTTCTGCACTGCCCTCCTTGAGCTAGTGCGCTGTGATGCTCCCCTCACCTCATTCTGATCTTCCATGGCCCATTTCTACTGTGATGCCAAAACACGGGCGCCAACCAAATCGTTTTACTTTATTTCATTTGTAATTATTACCTATTATAGAAAACAAATAAGCCAACAACAAGAACTTCCATGCTGAGCATACACCTTTACTGACAGCTGTGCAATCTTGTCCCTGGGTCTGATCCCTTACCTTCTGCATCCTGAACTACCAGTTAGTAGCCTTTTTGCTGTATTATGGGCACACGTGCTCCAAATATCCCCAGCTGGTTCCAGGCCTCCATTTCTGATAGGGAATAGAAACGTCCATCTGTCTTTGTGGGATCTTTCCCTGATGCCCAACATGCAAGTTGAGGTGCTTCTGTCAGACAAACCAGCAACTTCTGAAGCTGTTCACAGTCATGTGTAGGAGAAGAGAAGGCAGTGGTCACTGAAGACAAAGAACACTGGTCTGGGCCTGGGGCCAGGTTTCTCCACTCCCCCTTTTCATCTGACTCAGATGGCTCGTGCTCTGGCTCAAAGCAGAGGACACGTTTCTCTGAGAAGCAGTAGTTGTATCCCTTTGCCAGGCTAGGGGAGGGTAGATTAGAGGGACTGTGCAGGTCTGCACAGTAACTTCTTAGTAGGAAGTCCATTACAAGGAAGGGCATAAGAAAGCTGATGTCAGATGGGCCACTTAGGCAAGGTATAAAAGGCCCAATAGGGTAATGAGCCTTGGTCAAAGTGGACAAGTCCTCAAGAGACCAGAAAAGGCCAAAGGGGGAAGAGTATCTCCAGATACCTCAGGAGAATCAGCTCTCAAAAGAAAAACGTAGTCCTTGCCTGCATGCCTGAGGTGTGGCTTCATGATACCACAGGCCCCAGGCTGGCCCACCTCCTCCCAAAGATACTCCCTCCATTATAATCCCAGAAGTATGGAACAGGGAAAGGAGAATCCGGAGGAGGAGTAGGCATAGTATTCCAGTCCGACATCAAACCCAGGAAAAGCCCCACCAGGAACACTACTCCTGGAAATGCATCAACTGCTCTGGGACGGCAGAGACAAAACTAACTGTGGTATTCCTAACAGCCAGACCACAGCATGGTGGTGGAATCCTCTAGACTTCAGCACCAGGTAGATAATGCCTCTGAACTGCTGGCTGGAGACAGTCACAGACGTGATCTGATTTTTATTCTGGATATGGACACAGGCAATACAAGAACCACTAGCACAGACAGACCCCCAGCTTCTCCTAAGCAAAAACAGAGCCCTGCCCCTTCTCAGTGAGAAGGTGGCCAAGCGGTGATGGGTCACACTGCAGTAGCTTGTAGTAATCCTAAGAGAAAGCAATGCCCTGGGCCCTCAGATAAGAACCCAGAAAGACAGATAATTGAGAGGTCCAGCTATGGAGAATCAGGTAGGACACTGGGATTAATGCAGCACGTCCCTTCCTTCCACCTTCCCCACCAGGTCACCATGGTTCTCAGAACCTGTAACAGAGGAAATGGTAAGACAGCAGAACTGGCCATTGGTGGCAAAACTGCTCGCAGACAAGGAGAGGCAAAGACAGAAGGACATTCCACAGTCCTACACCAAAGCCACAGAGGAAGCCACAGGATCTTTCTTTTCAGCCAGAGCAGCTGCAGTGCTGTACCCAACTCAGCTATGGCCGACTGTACCGTGCTCTATTGACGCGACTGTTTCCATTCTGTTCCAGAACCCAGCACAGCACTGCAAGGAATATCTTCTACCTACTTGCTTCACAGAGAATATCACTGCCATCTGGGACTGTCTTTCTGGAATCCAGGCTTGGCTAGCACATGCCAAACCCACCACACAACTCCTTCCTTCGCAGAATTTAGCCGATGCCACAACCAGAAAGCCTTGGCTGACTTGCCACCGGCCACATTCCCTTCTTAGATGGTGCAAGAGCCAAGAGCGCTTGGGCCCCTCTCTGCCTTAGGGACGTGGCCCCTGGCCCCGCAGTAACCGAGCGCCGTATATGATGTGCTGCACTTGTCCTCCCAATGCCGTCTGAGGCAGGGAAGCATTAAGCACCTCCCTTTACAGCTCAGCAACTCAGCGCCAGACATACTAGGGCCCAGATGTTAAAGGTATTTAGATCCTGCTCGGCTCAGTGTTGCATGGTCTCAGGCATTAAGTCCTATTTTCAGAAGTGACTTAGGCACATGGGCCCTGGTCCTCAAAGCTATTTAGGCACCTCTCTGCCTCTTTAGGTGCCTAAATCCACCATTTAGGCACCACTGAAATTTTCAAACCTGCCGCTCAGCTTCCATTTAACTCCGTAGGCACCTAACCCCCCTGGGCGCCTACGTTCCCAGCAATCAGCTGCCTGAGTGCTGGTGCATGAGCAGCTCGGTGCCCTGACTCACCCCGATCCTGCCGCTCTCACCAGCAGGGCCGGATCCTGCTGGAGTGTTCCGAGCATGGCGAAGCCATAACCCTTGTCAGACCCCGCAGGGAGAGGGCCGGATGCAGGCCACCAGTGCACAAACCTGCATCACAGACAGCTAGGGGCACAGGGCAAGGCAGGCCGAGCTTGAGAGAGGAGACGGAGATGGAAGAGGCTGTTTCGGCCGATAGGGCATAGGCTGCCTGAGCAGCTGACCTGGGCTCACGTGCCTGACTCCAGGAGGGAGTTCACAGCTGAGGTGCCCGAGCACAGGCAGGTATCTTCTCTGGTCCATCGGCCAGGAGCATCCGTCAGCTGCTTGGGCGCCTAAGCCCACTCTCCTTGGCATTTCCCTCCTGGCTAACTTAGGTGGCTCCCCACGCAGCCTGCTGGCTTCCGAGGATCCCTTTCTTAGGTGCCTGTCCCTCCCCGTAGCCTGGGGGCCTAGCTGCAGAGGTGGCAGGCCACCTAATGACCTTTGATGATCTGGGCCTTAGGATCCTCAGTCAAGTCAAGGGGACCTAAACTCCTAGTGCCTAAGGGCCAAACTTGTAAAGATATTAACTCTCTCTGAAAACATGAATGTCCTCAGGAAGTAGAGCCAGTGTCCTCTTTGGTTTCATTTAGATGTCGTCTGTCCATCCTGCAGGACTGGCCCTTAGGACAAAGACCTTGGGGCAGACGGCTTGGGATCTAACAGTCTCTAACATTTCTTCTTCTTCTTCTGTTCTACTTTCCAGGCCTATAGAGCTCTTCTGTAAACCCTTCTGCAATTCTAATAGTCAGCTCTAGCAATGAGGTGTGCTGTGATAGTCTAACAGTGTTAATTGTGGGTCCCTGGAAACCACCAGCGTTCTTTATTTATCAACAAGTTCGTTGTTCTTTGTACTATTTTTTCCACTAACATGTTTGCCTGCGCATGGCATGGGCTTGCCAGGGTGGGCTTGGACTGAGAGATCAAAGAGAATTTCTGAAATAAGACACTTCTGAACTGTGGGCTAATAGCTCTTACCAGCTCACTTGGAATTCCATGGTGGGCGAGGCCTCTGTGATTGCCAGCACACACTGCTACTCGATGAGCTGCGAAACACCTGAATTCACACAAATCTGAGTAGCAGTTCACTAATACAAAGTATTATTCCTGTTTAATTCAAATACATCTGTGCCAGCCTTGGACTCAGGATAATTGGGAATCACGTGTTGCTTCATCCCTTGTATCTACTCACACTCAGACACCATATTTTTGATAGCTGTCTTCATGCCAGGCGAGAATCCGACATCTCTTCTCTTAAACTTCCCCAGGGGTGGTGCATTTCCATTTAGCATTTCCAGACGCATGTTGTGTGCATTATCTCTGGCATTATAGTAGTGCCTGGAGCCCTGACTAGGTCTCAGGGCCTCATTGTCCTAGGTATTGTACAAACAGGACAGCCGTTGTTCCAGAGAACTCAAATTCTAGGCTTATGAAAAGATGCCTCAGATGTCTGAAACACAGCTCCTCTTTTTGCAGTTCTCTGCTTTCCCTATTTACAGACACTCTTGAAAGCATGGCTGCTATACGGAGCTCCTTTCTGGGTCTGTATTTCATATTTAATGAGTATTTTTGCATTTTATGATCACTTACTGAATCTGGGTGGTGCTTTGCACAATGATTTTTACAGTGTTTCCCAGCTGCCTATGACCTGATCCTATCTTGAACAATTTCTAGCCATACACATTTTCACAAAACAGCTCACACCAGAACCAATGGCTGGCATTTCTCTTTCAGTGTGAACATGTGTGTGTCAGTGGTTTGAAAGCATCCACCTCTGGGTGACCATTTTGCAGGATTGTCCCAAACCCATTTAAGTTTGCATCAGCAAAGATCTTCAGCTCTGAAGAAGAGCTTCATGTAGCGTGGAAGCTTGTCTCTTTCATCAGAAGAAGTTGGTCCAATAAAAAGTATTACCTCACCCACCTTGAATCTCAAAATATCGGTGCTTCTGTGACAACTTGCTTTTAATTTCCCCAAACTTTCCTCTTGCCAGGCATCCCCAGGCCATTCTGTACTGTCCTCAAGCAGCATTCTGAATGGAGTTCTTCACTGTGACGTATTAGGGATGAACTAGCTTAGATGTGTGAACGTGCCTAGGAATCTCTGTATGACCTCTGTTTTGGGGGCCTTTCCATTTGTACAACTGCCTTCACCCTTCTTGGCTTGTACTCATGGAGCACAGGTCCATAGCCAAGATAGTCAGGGATGTAACCCCATGCTCTGAGTGTCCCTAGCCTCTGGCTGCCAGAGACTGGAAGTGGACAAGGGATGGATCCCTTGATGATTCCCTGTTCTGTTCATTCCCTCTGAAGCACCTGGCACTGGCCACTGTTGGAAGACAGGACACCGGGCTAGATGGACCTTTGGTCTGACCCAGTCTGGCGGCCCTTATGTCCCTACTCAGTTGTGCTCAGATTTAGCCCCATACGGTATTTGTTTTTCTTCACTTTAAATAGATTTTCTTTGGCACAGAGCAGAACTTTATAGTCTCTCAGTGTATTACTGATCTTTTTTTAAACCAAAATCAACCAATCAGCAAGTACTTCCACCCCACCCAGATCCCCAGAGATCTGAGACATGATGCTTTGGTGTCCTCAGGTGGTGAGGCCACCCCAAAAGGAAGTAATCTAAACATATATCTACCAAAAGGAGAGTTGATGGCACAGAGTTCTGCACTTCCTTTATCGAGTCAGACCTGCTAAAAGTCTTGGCTTGCATTCAAAACTGAAAATACTCTTGCATTCTGATGTCTAGCTGTGGCCTCCTCTCATGGTGCTGCATCTCACCTGGCCTTATTCCAATCTTTTGGATCTATGCACATCCTTGGCTTGTTTGGTTTATTATGGTGATTATACTCTTAACCCAGTCAGCTGGTGCCTGTATTCGCTTCCAATATCTTATTTTACCATCCATTCAAATTCAGCTTTTACATTTTCTCAGTGCAAATGGTACTTCATACATGTATTTTTGGTGGCACTTTAGGATCTACACTAACATGGTGTATTATATCCTTATTGCATACCAGTCCATTAAACACCTCAACAAATTCTTAGATATCTGTGGCATCCTGTTTTGCAGACAAGTTATATACACATTTGATCATCTGTATTTGCATACTGCTCTTCAACCTAAGCCCGCATGGGAACATGTGGAACCTCTCCTTATAGAAACATTCCCCTGAGGCATTGCCAAGTGGGTTAATATCATGTCCATTCAATGAAAGAAGTTCATTTTTTTATTTTAACATTGGGCGGTCACAATTACTTCTGTAAAAGCTTGTTGTGATTATGTGGCACTCAGCTCCAAGATCTAGTTTGAAGTTTACTTTTCATTCATTTATTTCCAGTGCTGAACAACCCCCATCAGTTGTAGAATCTTGCCTTGTAAATATCTTATGGGACCCAACCAACGATTCTGTTTTCTGCTGCATCTTCTTCTTCATCATCATCATCATCATAATCGCTTTGTCCTTCACCTGTATGCTCATGAACTTGTTTTGTGTTTCTTTGCAATTCGGGGTCAGATATACTTCGATAAAATGGCTGTTTTCACTGCATGCTTTGTATTGCACCCCCTGCATACTGGATACCTTAGTAAAGTGTTGTGATTGCTTCCACATTTACTGCAAACAAATCTGGTCTCTGTATTCTGTCCTTGTACCTGGATATACTGTGGGTCATTCTCTACTTGTTACCACTTTCCGGTGGGAAGCAGTTTTCACTAGTCCTGTAAATATTTCCTGTTTCTGGCAAAGGCAAGTCCACTTCTTGCAATAACCTTGCTTTGACCTAGTTATTAAACCACAATAACTCAGGCTCCAATTGGTCCACTATTTAATTGCTCAAATTCACACGCCTTAGCATATTATGCAGGTCGGAAACGTAATGGCCAACGGTCTCGCTGTGTAGCTGGTTCCTAGTAAAGCAAACGAGCCCTTCCCGCATGACCCTCTGGGATGGAACACAGGGTCTCTGACATGTGAATGGCTCGGTCTAGCAATCTGCACTCCTCTTCATGCCTCCACGAGGATGCACTGTAGATTCTCGCCGCCTGTTGAACCAGGCAGGATTGCACCCTCGGATTTCTTTGCAATGTAACTTGCCTCCAGGAGAATCTGGGAGTGCTGCGACCACATCCTTCAGTTTTCTGCCAGGCTCCTTTCCCGACTGGGAGGTTCCAGTGGTTCGTTTGCTCCCAATTTTGCCGAAGAGCATGTTTTCTTCTGGCAGCATGTAAATAAGGATGTAACACACAGGAGTGCTGGTAAGAGAGAGAACTTTCTCTCTTGTCCCTAGTCACAGGGATGGATCAAGGTTATTGTAGGTTAATACCCCTGTTACATGGTAGGGGTCAGTATCCACTACTCTCCTCTCTCTCCTTCCTACCTCCTTCCCTCAGCTTCTCTCTCTTATGAAACAACTCCTCACCTCCGCTACTCCAAACCTGACTGCCCCCCACAAGTCCCCACAACTAAGGGTTTAGCACAGAAATAAAACAAATATATTCATAATTACCAAGAAAAGAACAAAAACAGACATGGACTTGACCTGTTTCTCCTGCCACCACCCGGATCACTTTGCTCCTGAGTTGTACCCCGTAGCCTGAGCCTACTTTGGTCTCGATCTAGAGCACAGGTGCCCCAACTGTGGGGCTGGAGGAACATCTGGGAGGTGCAGCGGGCCCTGGGCCAGCTCCCCGGGGGGTGGGGAGGGACCACCACCCAGCCACCAGCTCTGCTCTGATCCTTCCCCCAGCTGTGTCCCCAGCTCCCAGCCCCGTGCCCAGCCTCGGTATGGATCTACTCCCAACCCTGCGCCAGCCCCCAGCTGGCCCTGGCTCAGTTCCTGGCCTGGAGCTAAGGCTGGGGGGAGACCAGGAACAGAGCTGCAACTGGTCACGGGCCCGGTTGCCAGCCCGCACCACAGCCTGTCTGTGGATTTGCCCTCGCCCCCAGCCTCGGCCCCTGGGTGCGGCCCTGCTCCTGGCCCCACACCCACGCCCAGCTGCAGCCCCAGCCTTGGCCCCCTTACCCTGTTCGTGTCCCCACCCTCCAAGCTATGGCCCCAGCCCCAGGGAGGCGGTGTGTGTGTGTGTGTGGACAGGGGTTGGGGGGGCATGACCCTTAAAAGTTTGGGGACCACTGATCTAGACTGTACGCTCTTTGGGCCAGGGTGAGCGTGGGTTACAGGTCCCCCTCTGCACCAATCCACAGCAGACATGAGATGTGACAGCCCCTTCGGCGCCAGCGGGAGCAACTCCTGTTTGAGCTTTGGCAGTCCCGGGTCGATTCCCGGCATGCCAGCCACATAGGCAGCCTCACCGTAACGTCTTTGCAGCACGACAGGGCTTCGAGCCTGGCCCTGGGCCCTTCAGACACCGCTGTACCACACAGTAGTTCCACGCCTGGGCCTGGCTTCCTGGTGAATGGGATGCTACCTCCCGCAGGCCTGTGAGCTCTCAGTCATCAGTACCTGACCAGGCTGTTGAGCTCCTGGGATGGAAGGTGCTGGAGGAGGGCAGAGTGTTTTCTGCTGGCTCGTGAAGCTCTCGTGTTCTGCAGCAGACCCTTTCCAGAGCTCACCCTCTCTCTAAGAACGGACCGTCCCCCCGTTTGCCTTACCTACAGATTTTGTCCGGGGAATTCCTTTGCGTAGGGACACGTGGGGTTTCTCGGCCCCCGGGAGAGCTCCCGAGTGAGCTGCCATTCCCTGACGTTCGAAGAGTGACTAGGAAAGAAACAAAGACGGGAACGTCACTCTGACACCGGACTCCACTGAACGGAAACAAAAGCTTCACCCGCAGCACCGTCCAACTCTGCTACGTGGTGTGAAGGACGAGCAGGGCGCTGAGGTCAGGCCTGAGCACTGGGCAAGGCCTGTCTCTTGCTGTGTGTGTGCAGGGCCCTGCGCAGCAGGGCCATCATACAGCCTGGGGTGGCGAGCATTCGCTAACATAGCAGTCCAGGGACATGCGTCCCTTCCCTCTTGGCTCCCAGTGAGGCCGACAACCAAAGCCTCACTGACTTCACTGGGAGCAGCTGCGGCCCCTGGAGCGTACCGGGAAGAAGCCCCATCCGTAGAGCTTATAGCGAATGTACAGTGCAAAGCTCACAGCCTCAGGGGCCCGCTCTCCCCCGAGCTCTGTCTCTGACTCTCTTCTCCCTCAAGAACATCTCAAAAGCCTTGGCCATTAGCCGCGCTTCCCTCCCACGTGCCCATTTCACCGCTGCACTGCCAACCCCCCCTGCTGCAGTGACAGTACATGGCGCTTCCCCAGCACCTCAGCCGCGTCACTGTCTGCTCCAGGCACTGAGATCCTCTGTCTAAAACCGCCTCAGCCTCCAGACTTCTCTCTTGCCCTTCTTTTATCCGGAGTCCTCCAGCAGCCCCAACGTCCGGTCCCGCCACATCTCCGGAACCTGAGTCCCCACTCCTGCTCCAATCACCTCTCGGACTGTCTTCCCTAAATCCCAGACTCAACCCCCAGTGCCCTGACATGCTGCAGCCAGCCTGGGCTCTCACTCCGCACAGACCTGGAGCGCTGCCCTCCCTGCCACCTGCACGGCCTCACCGTCCATCGCCCAGTCACACCCAGCATTGCCACTGGCTTTCCAGATATCTCCCGACACGATCCCCTGCAGCCTCTCTGCCCCCCCGCTTCCCCACAACCTCTCTGCCCCGCACTTCCCCCATCTCCCCTGCAACCCCTCTGGCCTCCCCCCACTCCCTCATCTCCCCTGCAACCTCTCTGGCCTCCCCACTGCTCCCGCACTCTCCCCTGCAACCTCTCTGCCCCCCCACTCCCCCACAACCTCTTTGGCCTCCCCCCGCTCCCCCATCTCCCCTGCAACCTCTCTGGCCTCCCTCTACTCACTATGCCCACCCATGTCCTCTCAGCCAATCTACCCACCCACCCCCATTCCAGCCCAAGAAAACCTCTCCCGGCTCTGGCCCCTTTGCACCTTTGCTGTTTGCTGCCCCACAGCGAGATGCTTGTCATAACACTCTGTGTCCTTGCTGGAGGCCAGTAAGCAGAACCCCCTCCCACACCCAGATGCGCTCCTGTCTCACACTGATCTCTGCTGGCGTGATGCGCCGGCTCGTGGGTCGTTGCTTCACAGTGGCTGCCCTGGAATCTGCTTCGACGATGTCTGCTCTCAGCGAGGGTTCAGCTGCTGCCAAGATCTCATCCAGTTTCTCTGGAAATTCAGACATAAAGCCAAACCAGTTAATAAGGCCCTTCACTTCCAGGCAGCTTTCCTGGGGCAGACCCAGCCTCGGGTGTGTGGCAGGGGACAGTCTGAACTCTGCACTTGGGGACGGGCTACAGAGCAGGTGGAGACTGAGTTTGTGCCGGCTTCTGTTCACTCTCCTCCCTTGCTCTAAGTCCTGCAATCCTAATGAAGCCCCCACCCCACCCCCCCGCCAAGTCATTTGCCTACTTTACATCCAGGTACGGGCCCATGTGTGAGGGCAGCGTTAGCCAGTATGTGCCAGCCCCATTCCACCACACTGCCCAGGCCACGGCTGTATTGTTGCCCTTCCAAACAGCAGGAACTTCGAAAGTTTCACCTAATTTACAATTTCTGGCTGGCCAACAGCTGGGCGGGGTCGCTTTTTTAACTGCCAAGTGTTGCTGCAGTTCCTTTCCCTACGTTACCAATGACGCCCTTTGTCTAGGAAATTCTTTAGATTTTTAAAATACATCTATTGAAAAGAATGACTGTCCAGGTGGTGCTGCCAGGCTCGGCCAGCGTCCATGGGACACGTATAAATGTCTAGGCTCTGTCCAGCCTGGCTGTTGAACGTGGGCCTCCAGGAGGGCTCCAGTCTGTGGCTGCTCATATCCTAAACCCTGTAAGCCTGGCCAGCCAAACAGAAGCTTTAGGAAACGTGTTGAGTTTTGAATGTCTATAAAGAACAGACATCTCCGAGGTTCAAGAGAAGCACATGGAACAACTCCACCGTGAATGCACCGGCCGGGCAAATGCAGCAGTGCTCACGGAGGGCAGCAGAACGAGCCGCGTTTGGCATTGCTAGGCCAATCATTTTTGCTTTTAGATGGGGAAAATGAGAAAACTTGAAACCCCCTCGAATTTCCAGCAATCCGGTCTGCAGTGGGGCCCGTGACAGCAATCAAACCCATGAATCCGCTGCCAGCAACGACCACACCTGCCATCTCAGGCAGAGAGCTTCAGACTAAGTCTGCCTGAAAGCTACTCACCGCCATCTCTCCATGAAAACAGCTCAGTCCCAGAGGACTTGTCTACTTGGCGCAGCCGTTTGCACTACAGGCCTGTGAATCAGCGCTGCATTACGGTTTGCACCAGTAGGGGCCATGCAGGTGAGTCCCTGCACAGCATGTCGCTGCGCTTTACAACTCACGCCCCCTCCGCCCCAGTGAGCATTGCCGTGCCGTGATGACAAGCCCCTGGGGTTTCCACCGCACAGAGCCTCTAGGTCAGAGCGCCCCAAACTGGGGTGTACTCCATTTGGGGGAGCACAGCTGGGGCCCGGCCCAGCCCCCACAGGGGCAGGGAAGGAGTGCCACCCAGCTCTGCTCCTGGCCCCGCCCCCACTCCCAGCTGTGTCCAGCCTTGGCCCCCTTCCTCCTGTCTGCATCCTCCCGCTGCCCACTGGAGCCACTGCTCCACTCCCAGCCCCAGCTCGGGGAGAGGAGGGGGGCACGACCCTGAAAAGTTTGGGGACCACGGCTCTAGGTTTCCACAGGTGTGGAAGCTTGAGGAGCTACTAGATCCCAACTGCGAACCCCTGGGGCAGATCCCTGGCGCCACGGCCTGGCAGCTGGTTAGAGCAGTCAGGAGCCAGAGACTGATAGGACAGGAGGCACTGGCCATGTGCAATGCCTCTCTGGGCTGGCGGACAAAGGCGGCTCCAGAACATCTGAAAGCCAAGGCCTTGGCCTGGGTGAGCCAGAGGAGGAGGGCGGCCCACCCCAGAAGACAGCCGTGGAACTCGGATTTAGCGCCTCTCTCCCCATGCTGGAACTACACTTGGGGTACGGCCGGAGTTCCTGTGGCCTCATGTGGGGACAGCCAGGACCAGGCACTGTGCCCATCTCAAGAGCCGCAGAGTCACTGCAGGAGCGTTGCACACAGCCCCACGCATTGAGCCCAGGTGACTCTCCGCTGGCCCCTCCTGGGCATGAGCCAAACCATTTGCAGGGCTGGCCAGTGGACAGGATAGCAAGTGCCCCCTCTACAGCTGCACAAAGCAGAACCCCAGAGACAGCAGGAGAGGACAGGCCATGCGCTAAATTCTCTGCTGGACTGAGGAGATTGGGAATGTGCCTCATCGGCGTCCCTGGCACCTGCGAGGGCACAATGCTGGGGCTGACACGAGCGACATAACAGTGAGGCTCTGAGCCCTGGGCACTCCCACCTGGACAGCCCGATTCAAGGCCGGGCTTTGTACCTGTAACCCAAGAGCTTCTCGATGGCAAGTGGCAGAGGGTCACAGGGCTCCCCGGGCTCTGGTATGTACACTCTAGTTCAGGTAAGCTCTCGACCAAAGCCGGGCTGTAGAGCCCTGCAGTGGGACTGGGATCCCGCAGGACCCGCTGCCACAATAGCGGGAGCAGATAAAATGTACTTCGTTGGAGGCGGGACTGGGTGGGCAAAACCCCCAGCCTGTGGTAACTTCCGGGAAAACACGAAATCTCTCGTCAGTTTGTCACAAATCGAATTTCAGCAATGGAAAGAAAGCTTTTGTTGTTCAAATAAAGGGTTTAATACTTAAATTTAAGCGAGGGATAGAAAATGATTTGATGTCTATTATAACAGGAGTTAAAGTATTTTTTTACCTGGTTTACACAAGATTTGTTTTATTCTTTTAGTGGTAAAAATTGTGTTTGAATTCCATTTATATATATCTAACGTATTAACAGACTGGTTTGGGTGCTTTTGTTTTGTTAGTAGCGTGGGGGAAACTGTCTCTCTTGTGGGATCGAAGGTTTTGGCAGGTGGGAGTGGGATGACAATGCAGGAGCGAGGAGGAGTGCAAGTGGGTATTGTGGGTGGGACAGGCGCAGGATTAAAAAAATAGTCCCGCGCAAAGCTGCCAGGGGGTTTGGGCCCATGAAGGAAGGGTCTCAGCCATCCTGGTGAAAGACGCTGTGAGAAGGCCTTTGGGGCGAGTAGGCCCTTACTGGACAACCCTTCCTTTCCAAAATCCCGTTTGCCACCACACGACTTTGCTCTTTGTTAAATAAACATAAGGTAGATGCTGTGTGGTGAGCGGGGCTGTGGTCCAGGTGTCACACGTAAGCTGCAGTGTAGTGTTCCTGTGGGAACAGCAGGCCTGACAGTTCCGTGAGCGGCCAGTGGGTCAGGGCTGGGCCGTGCAGGGGCTGCTCGGAGCCCTTGCGGGAGGGGCGTGCCTGCCGGTAGCCTGCATGAGGGACAGTGGAGCCACGTGGGCTGGGAGGGAAGTGCTTGTGTTGCCCGTGGCCAGTGGGGTCGGGGAGCTGACTGCTGGCAGGCACAGACGAGGCTCCCTTACGTTAAGAGCAGGGGGTAGCCAGGTGCCTCGCGGGCCTGAGTGCCCGGGAAGCATCACAGTCGTCTTTACAAATCTCCTGTAATGAATTACAGTTCAGTGGTGCCATGAGAGTGGGCAGAGAGAACTGTCATTAACAGCCACGTGCCTCTGCGGTGCCCTGGCATGAGCTAGAAAAGCCCCATGCAGCCGAGAATGTCTGCCAAGGCAGTGCCCCAGCTAGCTCTATGGAGATCCCAGGAGACGGGCTCCCCCGCCTGCCTAGAGCGACATTTCCCCAGCTGACAGCAAACAACAATTCAATGTCCTCATTCTCCTCCCTGTCCTCCCAGGGATCCCCCTTAAACGGCCCCTCCCTCTCTGTGCATCCCCTCTTCCTCTCTGGCCCGGCTGAAAGTCAGGGGGGATACCCAAGGGACTCCCCAATTTCTGTACTTGTGACCAAGCCTGGGCGTCTCCCTGGTGCTTGGCTTGCCCCTCCCTCGCAGGGAAGGAGAGGGAGTGTTGGTCCCCCACATCAGGTTGCTCTACATTCCTGCAGCAGCAGCGGAGTTCTGCCTTTGTAACCATTACAGCTGGCACCAAACTTCCAGGAGAGCTGGAGATTGGGTAACGTCCTCCCGCTCCAGCCCCACGCCTGTTGCCTGCCTCCCTCCAGGGCTCAGGGTCTCAGCGCACAGAAACACAGCACCACGGGATGGGATGGGCCTCGCCCCGCCGACCTGTCTACGTAGGCAAGGCGGAGGGTTTGCACCGAGTAGTGAGTGTGGCCAGGTTAGTGGTCATTATTTCATCCAGCGGTGAGTTCCAGGGGCCAGGACAGGGTAGCACCCAACGATCTCCTATGCAGGGATGAGCCTTCAGGGGCTGGTTTCGCTGGGCCACAGGCACAAAGCAAACTGAAGCCACTGAAAGATTGTGGGCGATCAGCTTTACCCCCACCCGGCGCAGGCATGAATGACGTAAGGCAGGGAAGGACCAGGGCCTGGGATTCTGGGAATCTCGCTGACAAGGGAATTCCCCGCTCTGAGCATCTGGTCCAGGGGCTCGTCATCTCTCTGCAGCTGCACTCTGCTCTGTTGTCGGGCATGGGAACCTCAGCCCTGCTGAGAACTAGGGCGGGGCAGCCCTGACCCACTCTCCGAAGGGATGGGAGGAGGCGTAAGGGGTTTCTGGGGGATGAAAGCCAGGGAAGTTGTGGGGTTCGGCAGGGATGGGATGAGCTCCCAGGCTGTGCAGTTTCACTCACCCCCTTTTCTCCTCCGCATCGAGGCTTGGAATGAAGAAACAAAACAGAGGACATGAATGGCATGCACAGTCCCTGCTCCCTGTCCCACTTGCTCCTCGCCAACTGCCCTTCCTAACTCTGCCCCACGCTCCCGGCTTCTCAACACCCGGGGGGACGCTGGGCCCACCTGGCAGGAACTCAGCTCTGGCCAGTCGAGGGGCGGCTCTCCGTGCAGTTACCTCCTAGCTCCTGCAATGGGGCTCGCAGTGTATCAGGGCTCGGACAGCCCCGGCATGTGGCACATGCTCACTCCTCCAGCATGGGGCAGCACATGATAATGGGGCTCTTTGCAGCCCCTCCGTGGCTGTGGCACCACGACTCGCAGCATGACAGGAGACGAGGCCAGGCCAACTCTCCCATGCCCAGGCAGACCTGAGCCCAGCCCTCCCTGGCCAGCGCTAGCCCAGCAGGAGAGACGATGGCAGAAGAGGAGTGGAGGGAGGCCTGGACAGGGCTGGATGCCTGAAGTCCTGGAGGAGACAAATACCAAGAAAGGCCTCTCGGAGGGAGGCGGCTTTCGCCCCCACTGCTCACGGGGGCTCATGGGGAATCAACCTTTCTCCACTGGGCTGACGTGGCACGGCCACAGAACCCACGAGCGGCCTGGAGGGTGCAAAGGAGAGTGCTCCCTCCCCGCCCCCCGGGGCACTCGCCTTGGGCACATGGACTGACCTGTAGGACCCAGGGCAGAGACCAACCGCTACCCCCCCCCCCGCCTCCCCAGGAGAGGTGGGGGGACACAGACCAGCCCCTAACCCCTGTTGGAAGATGTGGGAGGGACAGAGACCAGCCCCTAACCTCCCCCCCGGGAGAGGTGTGGGGACAGAGACCAGCCCCTAACCCCCCCGGGAGAGGTGGGGGGACAGAGACCAGCCCCTAACCCCCGTTGGAAGATGTGGGGGACAGAGACCAGACACTAACCCCCCAGAGATGTGAGGGGATAGAGACCATCTGCCAACCTCCCCCCCAGGAGAGGTGGGGGGACACAGAACAGCCCCTAACCCCCCCAGGAGATGTGAGGGGACAGAGACCATCTTGCTAACCTCCCCCTCGGGAGATGTGGGGGGACAGAGACCAGCCCCTAACCCTCCTGAGAGACGTGATGGGACAGAGACCAGCCCCTAACCTCCTGGGAAGGTGTGGGACAGAGATTGGCCACTAACTACCACACAGGGAGAGACAGGTCAGGGACTGGCCACTGACCCCCGCCCTCCATTAGATGCAGGGCAGGGACTGGCAGCTGAATCTACCCCAGGGCGACGTGGGGCAGATGACTGACAGGGCCGGCTTTAGGAAATGTGGGGCCCAATTCGAACAGTTTCGACGGGGCCGCGACAGGGATGACTAAACAAAAACCACGTAAAAAAACTATGTGGGGCTTGTACTCACCGGGCCGCGCTCCTAGTCTTTGGTGGCAGGTCCTTCACTCGCTCTGGGTCTTCGGCGGCACTGAAGGACTCACCACCAAAGTGCCGCCAAAGACCCGGAGCGAGTGAAGGACCCACCGCCAAAGTGCCGCCAAAGACCCGGAGCGCCGCTGGGTGAGTAAAAATTAAAAAGGCGCCTCTAGCCAGGGAAGGGATTCTCTGCCACTTGCTCCCCACTCTGGGCGGCCCTGCCACTGGGTGCGGGGCCCTCTTAGGTGTGGGGCCCGAATCGGGGGAATTGGTGGAATTGGCCTAAAGCCGGCCCTGCTGACTGATAATGCCTCTCCAAGTTAGATGCAGGGCAAGGACTCCTCCAGGAGAGGCAGGGCAGATACCAGCTGCTAACCCCCCACTCCCAGGGAGCCATGGGGCAGAGATCAGCTGCTATTTGCCTCCCACCCCAAGAGCCCGGGGAGAAGGGCTCACTGCTCATCACCCTGCAGGGAGCTCCATAGATCCCCAGGCCAGCAGGGACCAGTGTGACCCCCTAGCCTGCCCCCCACTAATTCCCAGAGCAGAGCTTTTACATACACCTCCCACCTGTGATGGAGAACCGACCCCGACCCCGGTAATCTGTGAATTACCCTCACTGTTGGGGAAACCAGTCCCTGATTCCCCCCATTCACTCCAGGGAGAGGCGGGGCAGAGCCTGGCTGCTAATCACTCCCCTCCCCCCGCCCCCGGGGAAATACCGGGCAGAGCCCATCTGCTATTCCCCTGCTACCCCAAGGCCTGACGGAGGCACTGGCTATCAAGGATCCCCAGGGAGATCAGAGCAGGGACTCTCCCTAAATCTCCAGCACAGAGAGACAATTCCTGCCTTTCTGGGGACTTCCCTTTCCATGCTGTGAGTCTGCACCCCCCAGGCCTGGAGAGCTGTGCCTGCCCTCACACAGGCATCAGCACATGTTCGCATGTCCATCCTGCGTGTGTGCACAGTGACTTGCAGGGCGAGTGCCTAGGCTGGCGTGTCCCCATCTACGTGTGAGGGCAGTGCCCACGCCTGGAACATGCCAGTCTCCGATGACGGCCAGCCCCGTGCTCCCTGTCAGAGTGCATTCACCATCCTCAGGGGCCCTCATCAAGTTGATCAGAAGCCCTGTGAGAGCAGGAGGCCTGGGGCAGAATCCTGGGACCACCAAGCACTGAGCAGCTGTGGCCCACATGTTCAAAGGGAAAAGCAAGAAAGAGGAGACGACCCGGACTGGCCCGAGGTCCAACCTAATGCCCACGGTCCAAACCCAGCGCTTCCCCTTGCTGGGGCGGGGGCAAGGAATCAGGACCTTCCTGAGACACCTTATCAGACTCCAATACCTAGATTTCGGTGCCTGGCTGAGGGTGCAAGGGCCTGACACCGAAGGGCTGCTCCTGCCCGGGGCCAGGTCAGCGATGGGGAGACTGGACACAAAAGCTTAAGGAAACCGTGGACTCCAACGTTCTGTTTAAAGAGCAGTAGGGCCAGCCTAAACCCAGCCAAGGGCACAGCTGGGTGAGAAAGGCCATTCTAGAGGGAGGGGCTGGGACAGGAGACCCTCCCCACCCCAGCATCTCTCCTCCCACTGCGTGATGCTCAGAGGCAGAGGTGGATACATTGCTACATTTCAGTGTCCAAGCAATGATGAGCCAGGCCCGGGGCAGAAAGGTACTGTGCAGGATCCCTCCTGGCTCCGGAGCTCAGCACGCGCCTCGGTTCCAGCCCCGGACCCCTGAACAGCACAAAGAGACGTGCAACACGACTGGGGGCACAAGAGCACAGGGGGGAAGGAGATTCCTGACTACCGCTGGTGCCTGCGGCTAGCTAGCACCTGCACCGGCCCACGCCCCTGCCCCATCTCTCTGACCCAGCCAGCCCAGCCGACACGCACACCCTAGGCAGGCACCACTGGAGCTGCCCTGCAGGGCACTGGGCAGACTCTGGCCTGGAACAGGGGATCGTTTCTATGCATAAGAAACAAAGTGTGATCCCCAGGCTGTGGAAGCCCTGACGCACGTGGAAGTGTGTGCAGGGGGCCGGCAGGCGGCCATGGGATCAGGGGCCTCTGCAGGAATGTCCGAGCTCCTGGAATCGGCGAGGGCTCCACAAGGACGGATGGGAAGCGCTTGGGAGCTCCCTGGAGCACCTGGAAGCAGGCAGGGAAGGGGGGGCTCTGTGGTGACCCCAGGAACGGGGGAGGAGGGGGAGATCCGTGATGACACCCGGAAGTGGCGGGGAAGGGGGGGCTCTGTGGTGATACCTGGAAGTATGGGGGGCAGGGGGTCTCTGTGGTGACTCCAGGAACAGGGGGGAAGAGGGGGATCTGTGGTGACACCAGGAAGTGGGTGGGGGAAGGGGAGCTCTGTGGTGACCCCAGGAAGTGGTGGAGGGGGGCTCTGTGGTGACCCCAGGAAGTGGGTGGGGGAAGGGGGGCTCCGTGGTGACACCCGGAAGCGGGCGGGGTCCCCCTGGAAGGGCAGAAGACACTGGGCTACTGGACACATGCAGGGGGTGGGGGCTGCCGGGAATAGCACGTGTGCAAGCCAGGGGGGATGTGCGGCTGCCTGGAAGCACTCTTGTAGGGCCCCACCCCCGAGCACGGGCAGTGCAGACGCCGGGGATCGGGTGGTTCTGCGCAGGTTTTCTGCTCCTGCTGGCTGCGTCTGCGCTGGTGGCAGTGACGCTTTGCACAGGGCCAAGCACTGCAGAAACTTCCGTGTGTGGAGTGGTGCATACGTCCCTCCAAGCTCCCACCTGCCCCCCCCACCCAGGGAAGCCTGTGCTGCGTGTGGCTTCCTGCTGGGCGTGTCCCTACACTTTCCATGTCCCGCGCATGCTCCTCATGCACCTGGGCATTCCTGCGTCTGCCCCCATGCCCTTGCTTACCTAGTTCCTCCAGCTCGGCCGTCATGGACTTGGAGCGCAGCGTCAGGGTGGTGCTGGGGGCTCTCTTGGGAGGCGGTGGGGCTGAAAGGAAGAGAGATGGCATTTTGCACTTCCTGTCCAGGAACTTGCGAGGAGTGGCCAAGTGCAGGTGCCACTTCTTCTCCACAGCCTGGATCTCCTCGTACTCGCGGGACGAGGAGTCGCACTGCTGCAGAATCTTATTAAGGCTGCGTGTGGAAGCAAACTTCTTCATTGTCCCAGTCACAGGGTCCCAAGGGCACAGGGCAGCCCCGGGATTGAGGGGCTGCTGAGGTCTGCAAGGGAGTGTCCTGTGCCCAGGTGACCACAGACCCTCAGCATGCGAGAGTCCAAGCCATGGTCCCTGGGCTACTCGCACCCCTGAAGTGCCAGGAGATGCTCAGGTTGTGAAAGCCTCTCTCAAATTCACCCTCAGGCAGCTGGCTGCCTGGGTGAGTCGGCAAACAGCTTGGCTGGCTGCTTCCCCTCCGTGCACGCCATGGGCGGAGGGTGGGAGAGGGGGACAGAGTCCGGGCTCTCAGCCTCTCACTCCCCAGCTCCTGGCGGGGAGTCCATCCTGCAGTGCCCAGCGCCCACCTCGCCCCGTCTCCGAACTCAGGCTGGATCCAGGCCCGGCTGCGGTGTCAGGGCCCCAGCGAAGGGCTGGAGATTGACGTCTCTGTGCCAAGCTGAGGGGCCACGTGGCGCATGAGGCAAAGCCCACGAGCAGTGGGTACTGTGGCGAGGGGCAGAGCTGGGGAGAGGGGCTCCCTAGCCAGGCCCGCCGGTGGGTCTGCCGGAGAGAGGTGCCATGCCATGGGCTCACGGGAGTGGAGACGAGTTGAAGGCTTTTCCTCTTCACTTCAGGTGCCTCCTCCTCGCCTGCTCGGCTGGAACAATGCAGGATTCAACGCTCAGGCGTTGCCATGGGAACCAGAGCTTCAGGCTGGTGCCGAGCTGCCTGCATCAGAGACCCCAACAGGGGCGGATTCAGGCGGAGAACGCTGTTCCCACACAGGCCTCCATTAGCCAGGAAAACAGGCAGACCCGGGCCGGGAGGAGAGGAGGGCAGCACGGGCAGAGCTCTGCGGCGGGGGGCACAGTGGCCTGGGCTCCCGGGCAATCAGAGCCTCACAGAAGCAATCTTCCTCCAGCCAAGGGGAGCCTGCCAGGGCCCGGGTGCCAGCCGGCTCGGTGAGGCCAGGGCGGGTACCAGCCGGCTCGGTGAGGCCAGGGCCCGGGTGCCAGCCGGCTCGGTGAGGTCAGGGCGGATACCAGCTGGCTTGGTGAGGTCAGGGCGGGTGCCAGCCGGCTCGGTGAGGCCAGGGCGGGTGCCAGCCGGCTTGGTGAGGTCAGGGCGGATACCAGCCGGCTCGGTGAGGTCAGGGCGGATAACAGCCGGCTCGGTGAGGTCAGGGCGGATACCAGCCGGCTCGGTGAGGTCAGGGCGGATACCAGCCGGCTCGGTGAGGTCAGGGCGGGTGCCAGCCGGCTCGGTGAGGTCAGGGCGGATACCAGCTGGCTCGGTGAGGTCAGGGCGGGTACCAGCCGGCTCGGTGAGGCCAGGGCCCGGGTACCAGCCGGCTCGGTGAGGCCAGGGCTCGGATACCAGCCGGCTCGGTGAGGCCAGGGCCCGGGTACCAGCCGGCTCGGTGAGGTCAGGGCGGGTACCAGCCCACACACTCACTCCGCTAGAAAGAGCAGGTGTCTGGTCCCTAGCAGCCGCTGCCAGCCTGAGGCAGGTCCCCACAGCAGGCCTGGAGAGGAAGCTGGTGCCGGAGAGCAGGGGAAGAAGAGGCTGGAGGCGCGGGAAGAGGAGGCGGAAGCGGCCCCGGCAGAGATCCCAGCACCAGCTCCTGCGCCTCAGTCTTTCCCCCGACTCGTGCTCTCGAGCAGTGACAATATAATTACAGCTCTTAGTGTCAGCGCAGAGCTGCCTCCCTCCCCCTCTCCTCGTGTCTTGCTTTCCGAGCGCCTCAGTCCTCCCTTTCCCTCAGCGGCTGGCGCCCAGCCACACGCCCCACCGGAACAGGCTCCTTCGCCACACAGCCCCTCACCGCTACCCCAGCACTCGCTCGGACCTGCGCCGGCAGCTGCCTCCCCTCGGCCCGGCTGCCAGGGGGTCAGACTGCTCGGAACCTCCCCAGGGAGCTGCTGTCGGCTGGAAGCTCCACGCGGGTCCCAGGCGTGGGGGAAAGAGGGGCCTCTCCCCTGCAACCACCCTCCCCCTCTAACGGCCTCCCGACGCTCCACGTGCCCCAGACACCTCCCTGGCTCAGCACAGGAGAGAATCCGCACACGGCACCTCCCCCGGTGGCACGACCCCCATCCAGCACCTCTCCCTGCCGGCCGGGGGTACGATCCCCACCCAGCACCTCCCCCCGTGGCATGACCCCCATTCAGCACCTCTCCCTGCCGGCCGGGGGTACGATCCCCACCCAGCACCTCCCCCCGTGGCACGACCCCCATCCAGCACCTCTCCCTGCCGGCCGGGGGTACGATCCCCACCCAGCACCTCCCCCTGTGGCACGACCCCACCCAGCACCTCTGCCTCCAGGCCAGGGGCACGAGCCGCAACCGGCACCTCCCCCCGCGGGCCGGGGGCACGACCCCCACCCAACACCTCCCCCTGCGGGCCAGGGGCATGAGCCGGAACCGGCACCTCCCCCTGCGGGCCGGAGGCACGACCCCCATCCGGCACCTCCCTCTGCGGGCTGGGGGCACAACTCCCACCCAACACCTCCCCCTGAGGGCCAGGGGCACGAGCCGGAACTGGCACCTCCCCCTGTGGGCCGGGGGCATGACCCCGACCCGGCATCTCCCCCTGCGGGCCAGGGGCACGACCCCCACGCAGCACCTCTGCCTCCGGGCCAGGGGCACGAGCCGCAACCGGCACCTCCCCCCGCGGGCCGGGGGCACGACCCCCACCCAGCACCTCTGCCTCCGGGCCAGGGGCACGAGCCGCAACCGGCACCTCCCCCCGCGGGCCGGGGGCACGACCCCCACCCAGCACC